ACAACAAATATCAACGATAACATCCATCTTTCTCCTCCCTCCCATCTTCTTTCCTCTTACCCCTCCTTCTCCCTCCACAGTTGCGAAAGGAAATAGCGGAGGAGGAGAACAGCATCGCCTCAATTCGCCAGAGTCTGCAGGACAAGGAGTCGCCGCTGCAGGTGGCCCAAAGCCGCCACTGGACTCGTCCTTCAGACCCGGAGCGGACCGCTGTCTAGATCAACCCCATTACAGGTAAGGAGAAGGAGGGGGTGGGAAGGGAGGGGAAGAGGAAGGGGAGGGAGTGGAACGGAGAGCTTGAGAGGGAATACGAAGGGAAAAATGAGGTAAGGAGGAGGAAGAGTGATAAAGGTTGAGATGTGAGGAAAGAGAGAGGGAGAGAGAGAGGGGGAGAGAGAGAGAGAGAGAGGGAGAGAGAGAGAAGAGAGAGAGAGAAAGAGAGAAAAGAGAGAGAGAGAGAGAGAGAGAGAGAGAGAGAGAGAGAGAGAGAGAGAGAGAGAGAGAGAGAGAGAGAGAGAGAGAGAGAGAGAGAAAGAGAGAAAGACAAAAAAAGAACACGCAGGGGATCACCACCCCTCCAAATTCCAACCCATATCCCCCACCCCTATCATTCCCTTCCCCCGCAGACTCAAGGACGAACTTGACGAGCTGCCCCAGAGCATCGAATCCCTTCGCCAGCGCCTGAGGACCAGCGAGGACACGCTGGAGGAGCTGCACCGCCTTCACGAGGACTTTTCCAAGGACATCCTCAACAGGGAACACACCATCAGCTTAGAGCGCCGCTGCGTCACCGTCAGGAGCCTCAGGCAGACTCAGGAGAAGCTTCAAGGACTGTAAGGAAAGACGGAGAAGATGAGAAGGGGAAGGAAGAAGGAAAGGAGGAAAGGGGAAATAACTACAAGTAGAAATGAAAAAAAAGGAGAAAACAAAAATCTCGTATTCTTTTCCCAGTACATGTAAATTACTAACCATAATCATTATTATTCTGCGAAATGTTTGAATAATTCAAACTAAATTGAACAGTGAAATTTCCGAATAATTAAGGGAAAAAAAAAAAAAAAAAAAAAAAAAAAATTTGGGAATGCTGTCCGTTTGTACATTAATAAAACAAAATTCTTATCGTATGTGTTCTGAATTCCCTTTGCATATCCTTTATTGAAATTAAGCAGCGGGGTCTGTTAAACTAATATACATGAGAGATTAAATATATGAAGTTAATGAATAATATTACAGTAATACTGCTACTGCTTATTAACCAACGCTTATAATACAGGTTAATTTTCTGTATCCGGCAGCTTAAGCCTCCTGTGACTTTTTTTCAGAATTATATGATCTAATCGTCAGTATTATTGTCTAACTGTAAAAGATGGGACACTTGCGGTATTAATATACAGTTACAAGGATATATGATTGACATAAATTTGTAAATATTTATTCATTTTTATCCTAGAAAGAATCGATCTTGAATATTTGTTGGTTGATAGCTTTGACAGCTGGTTAAGATAAGTTTCAGTCAAAATAACACGTGGAAAAGGAAAGTCTTTGCTATTACAGGTGAGTATTTTTGTCATATTTGTTTTCTATTACAAAATAATTTTCTGGCTAGCACATCACTATGACTTTATCAGTTCATAGTAATTATAGTCTTCGTAGTATTGAAAAAAAAAACGTTTATTTAGTTGTAAAATATATTTGTCTTTATTTACGTCTTGTCTACACGTGTAAAAATTATAATTTACACCTGTGGAAATAATTCATATATTGTGCACATATACATATCAACCACAATTTTCCTTTGGGTAAATAAAGAACAATTTTTTTCATGGATGACTTTTCAACAACAATTTTCTTTATTTATTTTAGACTTTTCAACAATATTTCTTTATTTAGAAATATTCTTAAATGTAGAGAGGAAAGTGATCAGAAATAAATACAATTCTTGCATTTGTTTCAGGCACAACGAGGTCCAAATAATTCACGTAATAAAAATAAAAATTCATGATGTTACTGAGAAATACAAAAAAAAATGTAATACAAAGTACTGCCATCGTTCTTTCACGTGACAGAAATACACAGAATCATATTTTAACAGTAACTTTCACAAGTAATTATTCAATGATACTGCATATATAGCTACCATTTTTACGTTTTTCAAATATGAGATCAATGATGATGGTAATTATGTAAAAAACTAATGGTCACAATGTTTACTTCGGTCTACTTTTGTTACACTTACTGAATATGTCTGATTTGATTAGAGTTAATATTTTTTTATTAGACAGTTACAAATTTTCCAAATACAAAGTTCCACGCTTTCGAATCACTGAATTAGTATTATCATTATTATTATTGCACATTCCGATATTATTGGTCATATATAACACTTTTTTCAGTAATATACCAATATCATTATTATTACTGTATTTAATATCAGTATTGTTTCTAATCATCACTATTTTTCTTATCATCATTGCCACTGATTAGTTATTGTTATTGATAT